AAAAAAAAAAAAAAAAAAAGAAAAAAAAAAAATGCAAACTTGATTAGTCATAAAATCGATTTTAATCTACTTCTAGCCACAAATTAAAGTGATTTGTAAAAAAGTAAAAAATTAAAGAGCAAATGTCTAAACTCAATATCTTATAGTTTTATGATATTTAAACGGTTTTGAATGCTCTGTTTCTCCGATATCTGCAATTAATGTCTATTATAATTGTCGATTTCATTATCGCAAAGCACAAGTTTCCATCCTATATCGAATAGTAACAGATTAATGCCGGTGTTAGCAGTAGTACAAACGTTCGTTCGAGCAGTATGCATATGTGGCTTCTCGCAACTGCAATTATGTGTATTTTTTTATTTGCGATAAAAAAATCTTATAATATCGGTAAGTAATTTATTTTGAATAGCTCAATAGTTTTAAATAAAATGATCTTTAAAATAACAAAATAAAATTACCAATTTATTTTTATGAACTTTTTTTAAAAACATGATGGTAACTGATCAACATAAAAACAGCAAAATTTAATAATTAACTTTAACTTTCTTTACAGTGAAAAATAAATATCAATATTTATAATTATTTAATTAATTAGAAATTGAAATATCGAAAAACAAATCTTTTTGACAACTTTGTACTCCAATATATGTTGGATATGTTGCCACTTGAACGAGTCAAATATTAGATTATCTATCAAAAAAAAAAAAAAAAGATTAAAATTTATTACAATTTATTTATAATTATAATTTATAATTACTTATAATTATATTATAATTAATTGTTATCAACAATTTCTTTCTTTACTTTTTTTTATTTCATATTTTCAAAATACAAGAATATCATACAATTTCATTTCCAGCCTCCAACCTGTTTAAATAGATTAAACATCGATATTAACAAATATTATTCAATCATATTATTTCATACTTATTTATTCTTGAATAATATTTTACAGATTTTAAAAATTGGCCGTTTTCCTCCTAATTTTCATACCACGATGAAATGCTTAGAAGAATGAAAAAGGAATCGCTTTAATAAACTTTGGAAATATATATATATATATGTTCATATATATATATATATACACAGTACTTACGGTATCGAAGAACTCGGTGAACTTGCTGATGTAATACCACCAACATGTGTTGGCCATTCGTAGCGCCATAGCGTTGTTGGAGTAGTCGACCGGTTGGCACCGGAAACTGTATCCTTTCGCCCAGCCACTCATCAAATACTAAAACAAGAAAATGGTGGAAAGTGAGGACAATAAAAGGGGGCGCATTCACCGGCACGGGGACGGCTGCGAGTTATACAGTTCCGACTGTACGACAATCAGCGTATAGAGCGCGATCGCCCGCTTTTCACCGGGAAACTCTGTTCCTCCGCTCGCTTTGTTCGATCAAGAAGCCAGCCGAAGGGGCGGAGACAGGCGACAAAAGAGTCCTCTCTCGGTTTCGGTTTCTCTTTCTCTCTCTCTCTCTCTCTCTCTCTCGCAAGATTCTCGCTATACTATTTCAAATTCTAAAAAGCCCGCGCGCTCCTTCGAGAATTACGAACAATAGTTTGTTTCCTGTATCATTTCGGCCGTTTTTGCAATTTCTTCGGAAAAAGAAAAAAAAAAAAAAGAAAAAAAGGAGAGAAAAAAATCAGGCCATGCGTGGTGGGCGAAGCATTCGATTCGCGGAGGGCAAAAAACGATTAAACGATTTCTTACGTTCACATGCTTTTCTTCGATTGTTTTATTATGGTATTATATTACTTATAACGATTACATTCCCTATGTTCTACAGAAGCAGAATTGATATGATGAGAATCGCGTCTCTAAGAAATAATGAGAGGTTTCTCATGAATATTTTTCTCCGGAGGATCATCGTTAATTATTTTCATTAATCAATGACTTTTAACTTAACTTACTTATTATTAACTTAACTTATTAATTAATCGTTTTATTTTTACAATC